TTACGTAATATTACGGTTTTCTTATGCTTCGTAAATTATTGCGCAATATTACGCCCTATTAAATTTGCTGATGTATTAATAGAAGTCGTCACTTTTAAATTATAATATGAAACTGTAATCTTGAAGATTGTTATGAATGTTAAAAAGAATGAACATAAAGAACCCAGATTGTGTAGAAGAAACAGTAATCTGAGTATATTAATCCGCTTGAAATAGTTTGTCAGGTCATTTTTAGTCAATTTTACAGTCTTTTTAAGGTTATTTAACAACATTGATTTATATAGAGATTTTTGTTATTTTAAAATCCGGATTCTTATGATAAAAATAGGTGGAGAACACTATTGTTTCCTATATTACTATAACAATAACAATATTTTGAGTTTCAAATGTATATTTCAGGAGAATAGTCTCAGTTTTAACTAGTTCAAACGATTATTTAGACAATTAAATTCATAAAACATAACTCGGTATAAAATTTTAAAAGCATTTAATTTAAAAACTAGGCTAGTTTATAATGATAGTGATAACAAAATTCAAAATCAGCTTTATACTGATTGCTCATAATCACAAAGAAAATAAACCAATTCAATGTAAAAAACAAATAAACGACAAGACTAAAGATAACTCTGGTATCCATATATAAAATATTTTTTTGTCTGTTAATTTTAAAAATAAAGTTATTTATCAGTTATAAATTGAAAATATCATTTTTATATATGACACTTTCTCTACAATTGATTATAGGATACTTCAGCTGAGAGCTATAATTTTGTAATTAGAGGTAGATTTTGGAATTTTAAAAAACAATTAGTGCTATAACCGAAATCTTCATGCCGGCTGCTAGACTTTGACATTAAAGATTTAAACCGGTTTGTAGTTAATCTTTTTTTAAAAAAATATATATATATAAACTTGTCCTAATCGTTAACTTAATTAATTAATTAATTTTTTTTTATTTTATTTTTATTTATTTTATTGCCAATAACTAAATTCAACTCAATTTAACAAAATACGAATGGATGAAATGATAGAAATATTCTCCTTGTAGAAATGGAATTAGAAGTGTTGCGGAACTTCAATATCAACAAGTTTTATTTTTCTTCAATCACAAGATCTATTCTCTTGATGTTATAACTATTTTTGAACTAGTTTTTTATTTCTTATAAAATAATGAATTCAATAAAAGTAATAAATGTCTTTGGAATATTTTAAATGCATACAAGCGAACAAAGTAACCATATTAGTACAAAAAAAAGAAATAACAAAATATTTAAAACACGAAACAGTTAAAATATTCTAACTAATGATTTTAAGGTCACTACAAATATAACTTTTTTTTGTAAGGATAATACGATGTATTGAGTGTTTAGATCTTTTTATACAGTTTGAAGAAAAACTTCTATTATCTGGAGTCACTACAACGTCTACGGTTCCTTTTTTTAGCTAGGTGAGAATCCCATCAAATGTTTGAATGATGCCGGGTTCTATGATTATTAAGTTTATAATAGTTAATATGTTTATTAAAAATATTCAAATATTTGCATCCACTTATGCTGAAATTTCTTGTAATTGTATGGATTGCTAAAAAAAAAAACATTTACTTATTTATAAATAGGTTAAACTCGAAGTTATAAAGATAATTGGTGATTGGTTTCAAAAAATTTCAACATTAGCTACTCCTTTTATCCTATTTCTTTAAACCTACCTATATCTCTAGCCCAATCTTTACACTGAATTGCGAATAGAGTACCGTTAATCTCAATGTAAATGTCAACTTCTTTACTATTACTTAATAAAATAATGAGTATTGTATTATAATTGTTAAAAACATAAAAAAATGTTTGTATATTCTATTTATCATAAATTCTGGCAGAGCATAAGTCATTTCAGAACACCTGAAACTAGAAGAACGTTCAACTGCCAAAACAGTTGGCCATGAAGTGCTTTCAATTCTAGATGTTTAACACAGGTGTGGTAGTGTAACTTCAGATACACAATGACTCAACAAATAACTCAAATGAGAAGAAGAACTCACTCATTATATTTGAATAGTATTTCTTTTTCTAATTCTTCAATAATATCAAGAGTAAATTTTTTTTTACAAGAAATAGTAAAGTTAGACCCTATTTTTTTTTAAACTTTTAATTTATAAAATATTCTATATACTTTTAAATATTCATTTCACCCTGTTCGAACTAAAATATTTTAAGATATTCAAAAAAATTTATTTGTTAAATTTTTAAATTTAATATAAGATTTAGTATTATATTCAATTTGCTTTAAAAAAAAATTTAATTAGAAAACAGTAGGTGTAATGCTTATCGAAAATTAATTTAGTAATACTAATCTTTTTTATGTAATCTGACTTGCATTAAGGGTAACCTTACCTTTGCGATAATTAATTTCCAAATAAGTACAATATCTTCTTTCTGTCAGAAATTGATTCTTGAATAAGCTGATGTTTTTGATAATGATCACGAAGCTAAGAAGAACAAGAGTATATGTAAATAAAAAATTTGGATTCACATCAATTTTTTTATTTTTTTTTGAAAAAAAGATGTTGATAAATCTTCATTGGTAATAGTATAAGATTAGCATTTGGTTCAATTTGATTTATATAAAATAATCAAACACTGGGAAACTCAAATTGATAGATATGTGACGAAACTGATGATTGACAAAACTATTTTATTTTGACTGGTTTCTTGAACAAATGGCGTATGAAATTATTTATAGAAAAAAAATACATGGATTTCAAAATTATTTATTCTTGTAAATTGAAATTAATTAAATTTTTTTAACTCAAAAAAGTTGTATTAATTTAATAAAATATATTTAATCATGAATTAAAAGCTTTTCAAGTTAAATAATTTAATGATAAATTGATTTCAATTATTTGTAAATAAAATAATTCAAGAAAGCAACCTGAGTCTAAAAGTACTGTAATATTTTGAACAATTTGAAAGAACAATTTTAAAACCATTTTGCATTGAATTATTTTAAGTTTTTTTTTAAATAAAACAGAGGAGATTTTGTAAGAGCATTAAATTCTTTGGCAATATGCCTCAACCTAAAGCAACTTTTGTCAAATTACTATAACTAAAAACTATTCAAAAAGAGCTTCAGAAAACCTCTTTAACAATGCCAAAATTGCTAGTTTAATGCAGTCTATGTTAGTTTATGAACAACAAAATAACAAATTTGGTGAAATAAAGAGCTTTGTGAGACTTTTAGAAGATTTGAATACGCTTGAAAAAGAAACTAATCCTGAAGCAAAGTATTTGAAAGGAAAAATTTTATAGGAACTTGGTATAAACAAAAAAGAAGTTAGTCATTTGATAAAATTAGCGGCATTCCAGGGGCAAAGTGATGCATTAGATTTCTGTAAGCAAAACATTTTTAATAAAATTTCAGAAAATTATCCCACCACTATTCCTGAAAGTGATAAAAGACAGCTTGTAGTAATTACCGGAGCTACTGAAGATATAGGATTTAATATTGCTAAAGCTTTTCTTAAATATGAATACAAGAAGTATGAAATCTTAATAAAAGTAATTCGACATGCTAATAGTGAATATCTTGAAGAGGAAAAATTGAAAAGAGAAAATAGAGCCAAAACGTTAGCAGAAAAAGGTGCAAACGTTGAGTTGGTAGACTATAACAAACATAATGAACTTGTCAAAGCTTTAACAGGAGCTAGTTTTGTTGTTAGTGCTTTAGGTATAGATAGCAGAAAGCCATGCTATAATGCTCAGATAAACCTTTTAAAAGCTATACTGGAAATTAATAAAAGATTTGAAAGAAATGAAAAAGAATAAAAAGGATAGAAAGATTTGTTCCATCTGAGTTTTATGTTGATTATAAATCTATTACAGAAGAGTAAGTTAATATGGTTTAAGCTACAAGTAACTAAGATTTAATTGACAAAACTAATTATATTTTCTAAAAGTTCTATAAAACTAATTCCTAAACTATTTTGGTATATCTTTAAAGATAAGAAAGATGTATTAGAAAAGAGAAAAGTTGTAAAAAAACAGAGATCATGAAATTAAGCAGAGTTAAACTTGACTATTTTTATCTTTACGCTGAGTTAGCTTATGAGTATCTTGCTTGGCTTGGATTTGATACAACTACCAGAGATGCTAACTTTTATGCAGAAAAAGATAAAAAAGTGTCTCTTATATATTTTGCATATTGGCAGATGTGTCGTAGAAGTGCTTGATAACAATAAATTTGTTAACAAAGCTATCAGAGTGAATGGAATTAGTTTAACGTTAAGAGATATACGCAATAAATTAGTTGCAAGCTAGTAAGTAAATTTTTTCTATTTGAAGACTAATTGTAAATTAATTTGGGTTTTTTATTGATTTAAGTTTAGCAAAAAATTTGTAGCTGTCAAAGAATGGTCAGACATGTATCCTTTCGAAGATCTAAATAATCTAAATACACATGATCACGAGGAGATCAAAGTTGTGCAGGCTAGAAACAAAAGAGCAGTTAGATCTTAGTCATATACATGAATTTTCAGAATTGTTAAATAACCTTAAATGAAGCAGATAAATTTAAATTGAGATATAAATTTGGGCAAATTTTTGGTGGTATTAGTATATAAATTTAGGCAGAATTAAATTATAAATTTGGGCAAAATTAACAATAAATCCTGCTATGATTTTTGAGCAAAATTAATAATAAATTCTGCTATGATTTTTGGTCAGAAGATAAAAAGATAAATTTCTGCGTGAACATTACATTCGTAGCTTTTCCACTACTTGAGTGTTATCGTTTTTAGCTCTGATTAAAATTGAATTTTGTGACTCTTGGAAACATGAAAGGAATTACTATTTATACAAATGACATTATTGAATTATGCGTAGGTTTTTTTATATACTTTATAATGCCGGCAGAAAATTTTATATATAAAATATGTCGTCGCTTATAGTGCTCAAATCCTTTGTTACTTATAGGGTCGTTATTACATAAACATATTAAATTCAATAAATTATTTAAATTATTTATATTTATTATAGAAGAAAATTTTATATACATCTTTATGTAATAATCGTATTCTAACTATATAAAACCTTATTAAACAAATCAATTTACCTTTATCATTATGCAGTTTTTTATTTAAACTTTTAGCAAAAAAATGCTTCGTCTTTGGTTTTAAAAAAAAGCTAGAAATATAAACTTGCAAAATCTACTCGAAAAATGCTATGTTAATTTGGTGTCAGGTCTTTTTTTTTTTTTTTTTTTGGAATTAAATTCAAAATTCCTATTTGAATTGTTTCATTCAAGAATATTTTAATTAATATCAAAGATCTAAAGAAAGTATATCACCCTTCGCAAATATGACATGTAAAAGAAATGATATTTTCATTGAAGAATTGAAAATTTTGTATAAGTAATCGATCTTTTGTCAAAATATGATATTGAGAAAATTGAAATAATCACAAATCATTTTCCATTGAACACAGAAAAGATATCAGAAGAGCTACTCAGTATTAATTGACTTAATAATTAAAATTTTAATTAATGATAAAAAATATTATTAGTTTCAATTTTTTATTGAATACAAAATTATTTACAAATTTGTTAATTAACATATAACTAATAAGTATTTAATTGTAAAGCTTCGTCAATATTAAATTTTTACATTAAAAATGAAGTAGCAAACTTTTTACAATAATCATCAAATGATGTAATTTTTTTCATATTATTTATCATAAATTTTGCAAATAAATTAGTTACTCCTATGTTCATTTCTTTAGATATCGCATATTGATAGAAAAAATATTCTATAATATGCTTAATAATTTCATCTTTTTCACAATAATGAAATTTAAATTCTTTGTCTGCGTCTGCATATTCTTCTATTTTACAACGTTTTTTACTGTCTAGAGATCTACATACAATTACATGATCTTCTTTAAAAAAGTTAATTCGACTATTACCAGTATGTATAGGATTATCTGGACGTTTATAATCTTGAATTGCTTTATATAAATCTAGATAATCCTGTTTATTTTTGATTTTTTCATACCAGATGAAGAGATAAAAAGAGTATTTTTCGAAAGAAACTAGAACAGTAGAATATTTGGGGAGCTTATTCAAAGGTTTAACATCGAACTCATTTTTTCTTAGTAAACCAATTATCTTCGAATAGTAGTCTTTAAACATGATTGACCTGATAGTATCGATTGAATTGAAGAGGTTAGAAACTTTTATACAAAAATTACTATAGCAGTTATTAACCAATATATTTTCTACATTTTTAATTTTGTTTTATTATCAAATATCGCTATTAATCGAATCAGATATATAGCGATATTTAGTATTACCCTAGTAAACGAATTCGCTATATATCGATTACTATCATAATCATGTGTAATCGGCAGGGGTAATTGGTATCGATATATAATTACCCGGCTAGTAATCGATATATATCGGTCTATTTTTTTTGCTGATGATAAAGACAATTATTACGATGTAGTTAGTCAAAAATTTAACAATAAGGATTTATCTAGGTTAATATTAAAACAATATAAATTATCATACTTGTTCGAAGTCAACTAAGCGTTACCTCTTTATTCTTAAAAATAGAAAAAATTATCTAAATAAAAAAGATAGAATTATATAGTTCATGAATATAAATGTAAATTAAAATGTGTTTTGAGCTTTAGTGGTCCAATCACATTCAACATAATATTGTAATATGTCTGAACGTGATGTATTCTTATAATTTAAATATACTAATTAAAAGCATTTTTAAATATTTCACGTGTCATATTTTTTTGTAATAAATTTTTTATTTGTGTATATTTCGAATGAAACAATATTATAAATTTATCAGAACTTTTATTTAAAAAAATGAAACATAAATCTTTTGTTTTTATATGAGGCCAACGTTTTGTCGATCATTTCAATAATTTTATTGCGTGAAGTAAAAGATAAATTGTCTTGTTCATTATACTCCTCCACTATCTTACCAAACTTTCCAAAGTGCTTCTCTATTTCCTCTTCCTTCTCGTAAACCTCTTCTAGATAGTAAGTACACAACATGAGGTTGAAGAAAGTCACCCTCCATACCATAATATATATTAGCATCTAAATATTTACATTTCTTCACCTTTATAAAATAAAAAAATAATCTAATAAATTTTCTTGAAGATAAGATTAAAAGTATGTTGACAAGACTCTAAATTTCAATATTAACTTATATTTATTAACTTTTCCAGTGGTCAACTTTTGAGCCATCAGTTGGGCCCATAGAAGGAATGTAAAAAGTTTTGTAAGAAAAATTTTTTGTGACAAAAAAGGGGTTATTTATTTATTGTATTGCAAAAGTCAATTTTTCTATACCCGATTATTTTCGGGTATCCGTAAATCGAGAAAAAAAATCGATCTTGTGGAGTGCCGGACCCACTCGAAAGGAGATTTTACTTACTAAGGCCATATATAGAAATCTCATAATAAATCGACCGTTTTGTTTTATAACCATTTAAATTTGCAGTTTGCAAAAATAAGGGGTTATCTTGGGTACAATCATGCTTAAAAAACCCGGTTTACTTGAGGTTGTATCACAGCCGAGGCAGGATTATTTTGCCATCAAATAATGGCTTATAGGAATTCACTTGCCACAATCAAACCCGATGGGACTAGAATATGCCATGCAGTGATTCTTGATCGTACACAGAAATTCACCCGGCAATACCAGAACCCATATGCACGACCTTGTCTCATAACTCGTCCTTGGTCATGAGCGTAAAGTTTTTTTGACCGTACCAAAAATTTACTCGGCAAAGCCAGAACCCCCGAGAACAATCCGATCGAAAACTTTACAAAACTCGCTATCCCATTTCTTGAAATCGATGAACGAGAAGGTATTCATCAATTTGTTAGATGCTCCATTCTATCTCAAAAATTGGCAAGGAACAACACCAAAAGAAGAAAAGCTCTTGAACTTAACTTTTACGAGTTAAAGGTTCTTCGGACAATCGAGAAAAGAAAATGATATCGTTAATCATCAAGGACCCGGTTCCCCGAATCAAGCAACCTCAAGAGATAGCATGCAGCAGCAACGAAGAGTACCCTGTTCACGTTCTAGTGAGCGATGTCACCCGATACCACCAACTACCCGCAAGCTCCTGTCTGTACGGGTCATCGTTTTAGCCGAGAAATCATGTGTGTTACCTTGGCATTAGAATTTTTTAAGGAATTACAATGAAAAAAAATTAAGGATATCTTGAATTCTTCTTATGATCGTCATTAGAAATTTCTTGATCTTGGTTCTTCTTGATTGCTTAAGAAGAATTAGGTTAGTAGAAAAAATAAATTGAAAACTACAATATAAACGTTAACCCGGACCCTTTGATAGAACAGCTCTAAATCTCACAACGCTATCACACAGCTCTTAGGAAACGAACCAGATTCAGCAAAGCGAGTCTAGACATTTGCCATGTATCCATGTTAATCTACGTTGATGTGTCACAACCAATGCCTCTGTGATAGCAGCATCAGCAAAAATAAATAGGCGTAAACCTCCGCAAGTTTTTACGCGAGCGTAAACTTACGAAAATTTACGAT